CCTGATCATGTCATAAATTTCTGTACACATACTATCCTTTATCCGAACATTTATTTTTATGATATATTCTGGTATCCAAACGTTTTATTATTTTGATACATTATCCACTAGTAGAGAACTCGAACAAAACGTTCAGATAATGGAATGTTTTGATATCAGGATATTAGAAAAATAAACCATTGGATAAGAGAGTCTCTACTATAGCTATTTTCTAGTAATAATATTGCGAATTATGCTCCGATAATATCGCTCTTTGCACGATAACATTACAGAACAATCGTTGACAGGATTGTTCCGAGTACAGGAAAATTTGATTTGCAATGCAGGTTTGTTGGCGAACCGAGAAGTACACGTTTCAGATAATTTAAGATGGTCCTTTCGAGCATTATTGCAAATTAATACAACCGGTACATTGTCGTCGAATCCAGCTCGCAGCTGTGAATCCCTGTGTCAATAGAATTCCACCCTAGTTGGGTCGTACTTCAGGATTCTATAGCGGCGTTGTCCAGAGTGTAAATCGATATCTGGAGCGGCCCTTCGAATGATATGGTTTCACGAGATTAGTCAGCGGTCCATACGAATCGAATCTAAATCCTGCATACATTTACTAACCGTGGCTCAGACCGTTTCATTTGCGCAGCTCATATCAGCTGGTCACTTTCCTGCAGCCCCGATCCCACTCCACCGGTCCAATTTACTTTTCGGGCCCCTTAGTGCCACCCGTATTTGCCGAAAGAGCCATACGTTGTCCTTAGTTCGCCCCGGTAATAGCTACTTTCGTGTGCCAGCAAGTTATCACCTTTTTAGGATACCGCTATTACGCCGGACCCGCGCTGCACCGAAATGTGCGCAGGCCTAATTTGCTCAAGCTTTAAACTTCAAGGCTCATATATCACTTAGGAAATATTTCGGAAAATTCGGGACGCTCGGCGAACTAAATCACGGGTTTAATCTCCCGAGCGGATTTTGCTGCAACAATTTTTGATCCTCTGAAAGTGGAGCGGCGAAAATGCTTAAAAATGTTTCACCAATATGCCATCGACTTTCAAGTTTAATGAACCCTCTGATAGAGTGCAGTGTGATCTTCTTCGATTCTATTAGGTGTACAAATCGGATCCGGACCTTCTGTTCTAACATTCAACTTCTATTTCTGGAAATATGCAAATGGCATTAATCATTAAAGCAATCCCCGTTTCTTTCGACGAACATTCTTCATCCACGACTGACGAATACCATCGTTAAAAAAAACCTGACCTTTCGTGTCATACTTTTGTTTCGTTGCTTTTCGTTATGTGTTTTAATATTTGAATACGAACATATCTTCGAGAAATTCTGCGTTTTAATGCATCACCTTTTTAAAGAAACGCTTCAAACGATTTTATTTTAGTTTTCGCGGAGAAAACTATTTTAGGTATTAATAAGAAATTATCTCAGATATTTATAAAACGAAGCTCTGAAACGAAATTTTTAGTTCGATTATTACCAATCCGAAAATCTCGCACAAGAAAATGTTGGTTACGATAACTGAGAAATATAGTCCTGTTCTATCAGAACACCGCCACGTGAATTTTTCTATGTCCGGTAACTCAATTCGGTGAACGGACCGTAGTCAAAATAACGTTTATGATAAATTAGAGGTAATTAGAGGTAGAGGAGAACTAGAACCTATTTGTACACCTACTATTTGTCGCTGATTAGTTCAGAGAAATTGATTGCACTAATTGAATGCGAATTATTCGCTCAGAGGATGAAACTCTTAGCACCTTCGATTTCGTGGTATGCGCTAAAAGATGCTAATCGGGCCCTAAATGCCTGTGCAAATACAAGGCTGCACGGACCAGTGTACACGAGCAAATGCTTAATTAAAGTCCTAGACAATAGCACGTTTCACAAATCCGTAAAATCCGGAGCCGAATGATAAGATCGAGGGGGGGCAGGAAACACGAACAGGTAATTACATTTGCAATTAAAAATAACGAGCGGCAGACGCGCATTAACGAAATCGGCGGTGAGAATTGCGAAAATTCTGCAAGTCCGCGTTGAAGTCGAGGAGTTTGATTGGCCTCGCCCAGCATATAGGAATCACTTCGAAGGTTTGAGCGTCGCTTCCTGCAGGATTTCTTCCCGAAGCCCGTTCTATGTAGATGCGAACGATGACTGGCGGAACGGGCTGAACCCGTACTAAAGTCTGATCCCCGATCGTAACAGTCGCCTTCGAATAGATAACAGGTTGGTATAAAGCACCGGTGTACAGGCTGTACAAGGCTGTCCGTTGTTTTGCTACTGATTACTTCTATTTTATCTTTGATTGATACGTTCGCGAACAGAAACCGGACGTCGAAGTTTACCATGCTCCACTCGGATCTTGTATCGATGAGCGATTTTTTTCTCGACTTCTAGTCGGACTGATGAACCGCTTGTCCATCGAACTGTTTAAATAGATGACTACCGCGAGCCGAGCTCCGAGCATAAGTTCTTCCGGGCAGCCCCGATAAAGCTAATTGCGATGCCAGGAGAAACCACTCAAAAGGATACGGTTTTCAGCCGAATTTCTCATGGATGTTTAAGAGCTTCGATGTTAAATTTCTGTTGGCCTGAGGTCTCATATAACAGCTGATAAAGAGCTTCCTGGGCTTGTACCAAAATTTTAAAGAAACTTGTGTGCAAGTTTTCTGAGGATTTCGATCCTTTATTCATTTCTATTAATCTACTTAAACTGTTGTTACGGAAAATTCACTCTTACACGAGTAAGTGTAAGACAGATCTAAAAAGAAGTTGGAAAATCTATTGCCAGTTCGTAGTACAATATGATTGATTGAACACTGTGTAAATTATTTAATTTTCTAAGCAGTTCAAGTGTCAATTTCAAGTGTCCTATTCCAAGACTCTGTAGATTCTTGTGGATCGAATTAAAATTGATAGTCCGAATTACACATTTTTTACATACTGTTTTCTTGCGATGCAATTGCAGTTCGTAGTCCAATGTTGAAACATTAATAAGAATTTTTTTAAGTTTACACAGTGTTCAGTTGAAAGTTTAGTCCCATTTCTAACTTATGTTAAAAAATTCTTCTTGATATTTCGACATTAAGAATTCATGTAATTTTATCTTATACTTGTCCTTATAATTGTGCTCTGTATAAACTATTTATGCTTTCAAGTGGTTCTAGTATCATCTAAACGATAACAGATTTATTCTGAGATTCTATAGGTTCTTGAGCATCGAATTAAAAATGATAGTCCGAATTACACACGTTCCGCGCAATGTTTCTTTGTTTTTATAATGCAATCTAGTAAAAATTATAAGAACATATTCATTCTCTGACGATTTCCCAATTATTCTTATCAAGGACTCGTTTAACGAACAGCGTCATCCATTAGCAATGTCAATGTTAGCGACCAAAAACTCTTCGTGCAAGGAAAAAGTGCAGATTGAAGCAAGTTAGGAGAGATTCCGGTAACTCGTGATAAGAACCTTATCGGCTTAATTAATCCCACAAAGTGAGGACGCGACCCAAGATCATTTTTAGTCGATCCTCCTCGTTAGAGAGCCTTAAGTTCCGTGAAAATAATGTATTTCCGTGGAATCGACGTCGTATTTCACCAGCACCGTTTTGTAATTGCTTCCGAAAAAAACAGCAAAATAAAGAACGAAATGTTAAACACAGCAAACAAGAGCTGATCTCAAGTTTATCACTAGACCAAGGATCTAAAGAAATTTTAATTCAATTTCCGTTTGTTATAAACGAGACAAAACTTTTTTTTAAATAATACAAAACTCTGTAGTTTCTTCGGTCATGTTGCTGCAGTAATTAATAATGAATTAAATATATTCTGAAACATATTCTGATTCAATGGCTAACTTTACTCTGAAAAATATTTTTAATCAAACGTAAAAGTTTCGATAAAATTTTAGAAAATGTATTATCATACGTAACGAAAAACGTATAAAAATGATCAAGATATTGAGTTTGAAAACTGAGTGATATATCACTTTATTATACTTTCGCACGACTGTCTACTCTGTCTGTTTGTGATACACTGATTCTACTTGCACGAACATCGCGGGGATTATCGCATACAATTTCTTTTTCTGCGCTACGAAATTGTTCTAATATTTCGCTGTTATAATTCAATACTGAGACATTTAAAAAAAAAGTCTACTATTTCATACGAAATATTATTATTGATATTATTATTTATATTAATATTAATATATGTGTAGAATTTTGGCAATACGTCTTGAAACGATAGTAATCGTTTATTAATAATAATTTGAGTCACAATTTCTAAAAATTTAATTGAACTGTAGCATATAAGATTTACGTATTAATCAGAAAGAAATCAAGAAAATAAATTCGATAAACTGACAGATATATTATGCAACTTGAAGCACGACTAAATACCAAGCATTAGTGATCAGAACTTTAAGCGACAATAAATATCTCGAAAGTGAAAACATGTGACACGCGGCGTTCTTCCTTGCAACCACAGAATTGAAAGCAGAGGATGCTGATCTAATCGTGGCCACGAAGTGGAACTATCAGGAGACCTTTGCCATGTTCGTGTGGTCTCATTAACCAGTTACCATTAAACAGCTAATCGATTCTATTCGGCTTATAAATCCCGATCGACTCTAGCGTCCATAATCTGTTAGGGACGAGCTATCAAATTTACATAAAATAAGCCCGCTTCTTATTACCGACTGGGGGTGGCCTGAAACTTATGGCCTGTAGCGTGTGTATCCACGAATGATACCATATACGTTTCGTTCGTCTTGTTTTATTGTTATCTGGAGGCGTCCTTAAGTGTATTAGTATTATACGCATGACTAATGCGAATAATGAAGGATGCGATTACCGTTAATGCTGTACATTACTTTCTGTCTGTGCGGCAACGGAAAACGCGTTCCGCGCTCGCCAACGACCCGCCGGAATAAACGCTCGTGCTGATAGGTTAAACGTTTCTATTTGCTTCGATGCTGCTGCTTGCTTACTTACACGCCTTGCTACGCAGGTCCCAAATTTTTAGGGTACGGTCGTAACTGCCTGTAACTACTTTTGAAGGCTCGCCAAGAAACTTCGCCGCCATCACCTTCCCGCAGTGGCCCGTTAGAGTGTGCTGAAGCAGAAACGGGAATGTCGTTTTAGAACATTTACCAACACGTTTTGCGTGATAATAGGATATTCGGTAACATACGTGACGTGTTAAAAAGGATTAAGAGCAACGTTCGCCGGTCGAATTCTATTGCCAACTGCACCGTCCGAAATATTCCGCAGCCGAAGCGCAACGCACAGTGCAGTTCCATGCTCATATATCGGATTAATGTGCCAATAAATCTTCAATGGCAAATTATACGTGGAACAATTACTTAAAATTTATTTAGCAATTCTTGTTTTCGATGACGATTACCATTATCGCATTTGAATACACTCTTCCAATGTTAATTAACCGGTTAGCCATCGTAATCTCATTCGAAAGTGTGTAAAATACTGTGATTATACTGTATATGCTTGATTTTCTTCGTATCTTGTTTAAATACTTTCGTAAAATGTGTAATTTCATACAGAATATCGGGATATATGGATATCCTATTTAACCTCTTCGACGAGCATACTCGTCATGAAAAAATGATAATATTTTATGTTATAACATCAGTACACTCGTCAAAAGCAGTTAATTGGTTAATAAGCATAGTAAGTATGAAGTTGTAACAATCATTAATTTTCTGTAAATTATCAATAATTAAATTCAAGTACAACGGTAACTAGACTGTGGATCTTATCAATTTATAATAAAAATGGTTGCATAAAGAAGGACCTAAAAATACCAAAGAAATACCAAAAGAACATAATATTTCTGGTATATTATTTACGATCTTTCAAATACAGACAATTGTTACTAGTGGATAACTAGTCTCCAAATTATAGCACGAATTAATTGCAAAAGAATTCATAAATAAGTTGTGAACAACCAAGTTTGTTTTTAACTAAGGCACCGCGCCATTAGCACGGTTCATGAATATAACGTGGAATAGCAATTACTGAAAATTATATTATAATTTACATGTAACTAATCGCGTTCGTATCTACGAACTAATTGGGAACTCGTGTATCAATTATGAATTTCCTATTATCTAAATTATTCAACCTTATTCACATTGTGTGTACCTAATCCGCCGATTGTTGTTGCTAATGATACGTAAAAATGCGGAGAATAAATACGATGTGTTTACTCGGCGAACGAGAATGTTGCGTAACGTGCTCCAGTTTCAGGTAGCATTGTCTATTCTTTTCTCGAGTGTAATCCATATAATCTATTATTATAATTAAGGTCAGGTTTCATGGCGGTCGCCAGAGTTCGTCTCACGTTTGCGTACATATTTATAATGCTAATGTTTGTCTTCTATTTTTATGTACCTGTTGCTTTTCTCTCCTATTAATACACACAGCAGGGACACTAGTATCATGATCATTACTAATTAGCTTTCTATATTCATGGGTCACAAAAATTTCGAAGAAAGGCCTTCTTTCCATTCTCTTAGAACCGTCCGCTAATTTCCTTTGACTCCTTTATACTCATTATTTTCACGATCCCAGCGTTAAAAACACTGTCTAATTAATCTGTCGTCATTAGTCGCAATTAATCTGAATGTTCTCCTTCGAGGCAGCAGCTCGGGACTACAGAGATTATGGTCTGCTATAAATACCAAAATGAAACGCGAAAGGGGTTTAAAAAAAAATGTCCGCTGAAGCTTTTCACCGTTGAAAGCTTAAAAATAGGAGCAGCGATAAAGTTAGCTCGCACACGGCCTGTCCTTTCCGCGCTGCCATTTAATGGTAAAGAATTCAGGCGTGACGTCGACAAGAGGGGCACAAACAACTCGAGAGGGTTCTTCCCTGTGAAAAGGGCGGGACGGTGGAACGGACAGGGGGCCACACGCCATGGAAAAAAGGACTTCGCCAATTTTAAGCTACACGGTCGTCGGGAGCTCTTGAAAAATGTCCTAATGTAAATTAATGGCCTGGAAGTTTAGCCGGAAGGGCTCTAACGTGAAAGAAACACAGGTAAGGGAGCACAGCGGCCACCTATGCTCTACGAGCACAACGGAGAACTTTTTCTACAACCTTGAAGGGGGAGCAAAGAAGAGAAGAGCGAGCCGAACTGTACGATAATCTAACGTCTCGTGAAGTTGGTCGAAAGCGTTGGGGCGAGTCTGCGTTTCTTACCGGAAACATTAAACGATCCACTAGATCCTCTCTCTTTCCCCTCTCTCTTCCGTTCTCTCAATAGTCCTCGAAGAATCCGAGCTACGATTGCGTCCTTGCGACACAGAGTGAAAAAAAGCACTCGGTTTTTCGAGATTACTTCGTGCGGACGAACGACACATTAATTCGACCTAGATTTTTTCAGATTTTCCTCCATTTTTAGAAGGCTAAATACAAGAACAGAATCACATTTATTGTTTTATTTATTGTATCACTCTTATTGTTTCATACATTTTCCCTTGACCAAATGAATTGAATCTTTTCGAGATTTTGGAACGAGTTTGTTAGGAAATAGGTGAACAAACAATTTTTTCATTTCAATTCGTTCGTATGATGGAAAGATTAAAAAATGATGATACGCATGCTTAACATTTAATAAACACTTTGACTGCTCTCCACAATCTTAAAATTTTCATAATATTGAAGTATTAGATTTAGTCAAATTAAAGTTGAAAAATTAATTTGTATATATATATACAAATTACTTTATTACGAACATTCCTAGCATTATGTAAGAACGTTTGATGTTATTTATATTTATATTATTATTATGATATTATATTTATATTCATAAGTAATTCCTAATAAATTAATTTTCAAATCTAAACAAATACTTCTTTCACCCATACCCTAATTTGTTTAGTTCGTTAATTTTATTAGTTATCTAGAAATTGATATTTACTGATTTCGAGGTATATCAGTCTTTTTTATATGAATACAGAAAATTCGGGCTATCGAGGATTAAACGTAACAGTTCAAATTGATGCATATGCAATTTTGTGACTGATTGTATAAGAGGCTGTATAATTATATTCCTGTATCACATTTGCAAAAAACACGAAAGGTAGATAGCTTTGTTTATAGTATAATCACTTACTACACGGAAACACTGTAATCATTTAAAGACGTTGATATTTTACTGCTTAAAAAGTAAAGTATGGACAATGAAAATCTTGAAATATTTGCAGCATGTATTTACATGAACTCATTACAAATAAGTACAATGATTCAAGCATTTTTATAGAAGAAACAACAGAATAGGATAATGCAACACATTAAAACAGTATATTCGCTGCATGAAGATAAAATGTGAACAATGAAATCCTGATTCCTTTTAGCAACTTGTTTACGCAGTTATTACGAGTATATAAAATGATCCGAGCGTTTTTGTAAGGGAAACAATAGAACAAGGCGATATCTATCGTGTAACCACGGAGTACACGATTTCGAGTATTCTTCCGAAAGAAACTCTGAAAACACGGAACGTATTTGCGGAGCATTAGCAAGCTGTCTGCAATCTGCTTTCATCGTCACTTTTCCACGGCTTACATAAAGAACAAATGTACATCACAATCCATTTGCGCTTCCGTTTCACCTCGGGAGAATACTGTATACCTGGGGACGCCTCTTTCCTTGATTCTGTGTTTGCACAGTGTTCAAAATGGTCGTTCCAAGGCTGGAATTAAATGTGCTGCTCGCCAAAATAAATACGGCACGTTTGACAAGCCTGGCATCAAATATTTCATAAGATGTAATTTTTTATTTACACACGAATATATAGTTAAAAAATTACTATATCATCCTCTCGATGATACTTTCCAAACGATCCACTTTGTGCCAAAATTCCAATAAACTTGGCGTTGGAGGGTTTTAAAAACTGCAGATTTCTTACAGTTTTTTTGGTTGAAAGTCGTGATAAAACTGCGATTTTTGCGATCTTTAATTTGTTGTAACTCGTACAACGCGAACTGATTTCGATAAAATTTTCANTATATATATACAAATTACTTTATTACGAACATTCCTAGCATTATGTAAGAACGTTTGATGTTATTTATATTTATATTATTATTATGATATTATATTTATATTCATAAGTAATTCCTAATAAATTAATTTTCAAATCTAAACAAATACTTCTTTCACCCATACCCTAATTTGTTTAGTTCGTTAATTTTATTAGTTATCTAGAAATTGATATTTACTGATTTCGAGGTATATCAGTCTTTTTTATATGAATACAGAAAATTCGGGCTATCGAGGATTAAACGTAACAGTTCAAATTGATGCATATGCAATTTTGTGACTGATTGTATAAGAGGCTGTATAATTATATTCCTGTATCACATTTGCAAAAAACACGAAAGGTAGATAGCTTTGTTTATAGTATAATCACTTACTACACGGAAACACTGTAATCATTTAAAGACGTTGATATTTTACTGCTTAAAAAGTAAAGTATGGACAATGAAAATCTTGAAATATTTGCAGCATGTATTTACATGAACTCATTACAAATAAGTACAATGATTCAAGCATTTTTATAGAAGAAACAACAGAATAGGATAATGCAACACATTAAAACAGTATATTCGCTGCATGAAGATAAAATGTGAACAATGAAATCCTGATTCCTTTTAGCAACTTGTTTACGCAGTTATTACGAGTATATAAAATGATCCGAGCGTTTTTGTAAGGGAAACAATAGAACAAGGCGATATCTATCGTGTAACCACGGAGTACACGATTTCGAGTATTCTTCCGAAAGAAACTCTGAAAACACGGAACGTATTTGCGGAGCATTAGCAAGCTGTCTGCAATCTGCTTTCATCGTCACTTTTCCACGGCTTACATAAAGAACAAATGTACATCACAATCCATTTGCGCTTCCGTTTCACCTCGGGAGAATACTGTATACCTGGGGACGCCTCTTTCCTTGATTCTGTGTTTGCACAGTGTTCAAAATGGTCGTTCCAAGGCTGGAATTAAATGTGCTGCTCGCCAAAATAAATACGGCACGTTTGACAAGCCTGGCATCAAATATTTCATAAGATGTAATTTTTTATTTACACA